TCCTATATCGGTTAAAAAGGCGGATGCAAGAGCAGCTGCAGATCTATCAGATATGCCGTGTCTGTCACATGTTTTTGCAAAATTTTTCAACTGAATTCTCATTTGATTTTTGTTGACACCTTTAGAGGTTGAAGGTACAGAAACATCATCTTGAAACGTAACATCATCATTATCATTAATAAAATTATTTGATTCTGAAGTTGAAGAAGAATCGCATTCAGGTATTGGATTAATATCATTCTCAATACTACGGTATCTTTCGTCTTTTGTCGTTGTTCTCTCTGAATATATTTTCTTGTTCTCTCTATCAACTGTGCTTATCACCATTTTTCTCGGACCTCTTTGATCTAATAAAAACTCTCGTTCACCGAGAGGCACTTTTTGAGACTTGCTACAAAGGCAATTCAGTAGAGTATTACATTTGCATGCTGCAAGATCGAAAATAGTTTTACTTTTCTCCTGAAAGCATAGAATTTTATTTTGGTAAGACTTACTGTTTTTCCTGCTCTTAAATGGCTTCATAAGCTTGGTGTATTTGTCGTGGTAGGATTTTAAAAGCTGAATTATTCTTGTACGTGAAACTATTGGAATTGTAGCCTTTCTCCATATTTCCTCCAATTTCATGGCAACCTCCTCGGCAATAACGGAAAACGCTGGCTCTTTCTTGGTAAGTTTTTTGTTCAGCCTCTTCCAAGCACAAAATTTCATCACTTGTTCAAACGTCGGTAACACATTTTCAGGAATATTTGATGGTTGTCCAAAAATGGCGCAGTCCACAGCACATCTTGTTTTTATTCCCGACTTTCCTGGCTTATCCATTTAAAAAAATCTTTAGTTTATAAACATCAATAACATCAAAGTAATGCACCGCACCAAACAAGTGAAAATTACACTCACGGACTGTGTGACACAGATGCTAGACACTTACTGATAAGGCACTCGGGTCGGGTATTCTTGGGCCCCGTTTTAAGGAATTTTAACGATTATTACTCGAATGATTTTAGCCAAGCGTCAATGACATTGAACCGTTGCATCTCGAAGTGTCTCGGACCAATGATATTAGAATATCAGGATCTATACGATACGCGTGGTTGCCGATTTTGCTTCATTGGTAGTACATATTATGAATTTTCGAATAGCAGATATTAGTAGAAATAGACGTTTTGCGGTAATTTTCAATGGGGTTGAGGACACTTAATAAACAAATAAATTTTAAATATTGTTTAAATGTGTAATGTACAACATTTTAAGTTTTATTTAATTGATATTAGATCGAGTAAGCACATATTTTAATCCAAATATAATAAATTTAAATTTCCATAAAAAGCAGATATTTATTAAAGTTGAAGGTCGTTAGGGGGGGGGGCAGAAAATTAAAAAAAATAAAAATACTAATATGCTAAAAAATAACACTAGCAACTGTTTCACACTATTAGATACAACATTTCCAACTTTTATTTTTTCGATGCACCCTAATGTATAGTTGGTTGCCTAACAATACCCACATAATTTTCTAACCACAATTCATTCCACATACAATAATTAATAAAACAATTTTCTCCATGTACTTAAAATAAATTCAGGACAAATTAAGAATTTAAAACAATAACATTGATGGTTGCTACTGTTATGTTATTTTAATTTTAACTTATTCAATTTTTAAATAGCGTTGGCTTCTCTCTTAAATAGAGAGACATAAAGTTACACATAAAGTTACACTGACTGCTTTGTTCGGACTTCCGTCCTAACTTGTCAAGATTGTCATTTCAATCAGTTGCTTTCATCAAGTCCTCGTAGACACATCGTCTCAGGACCAGCAACTTCATGTGTAGTAATACGTCACCATGTTACCAAATCCGCTGGCAATTTTATCATCCTAATATTTAATACCATATAATGTAAACCAAATTTATACAGATAATTTTTAACGGGTTTTTACTGAGATATTTAGTTGCTCAATACATGTACACGTAGTAAGTATTAACCACATTTTGTATTAACCTTGGTCAAAATTTAAATTTCACGTTCTTTTTAATTAATTAAGTCGTTATATACTTGTTAGGACACTGATGATGGAATATAGATTCCGAAAACGTTTTGTGATATAGCCCGATTGGGCTATATCATTGGACTTTTTAAATTATATACCTTTTATAAAGGATTTTTAGTAAAAGATTTTGTGATACATGGTATACAGCCAACTACAGGAACTTAGATTCCCTGTGGATTCCTTTCTTCAACCAAAACAAAGTGACAAATTTTGATCCATCCCTGCTTGCTTGCTTTTCTTTTAATGTTGTTATCGCACTACCTCTTCTTAGATTAGACATCATAAATCATTAAATAATTATCTAATTAATTGATGGATTCGACCGTTACTTGATGGAAATTCATTTTATGTAACACTAAACAATAAAACAATAAACAATAAAACACTGAAAACTTTGTTTTCAAACTTCCACAAAATTTATTTTAACTATTATCACTACAGTTGTTTCGGCTGATAGCCTTTCTCAAGTGACCTATTTTTGCTTGGGTTTACAAATTTATAGTCTCTAATGAAATAGGTTGAGGAGGGGAGAACTGTTTGTCTCAAGTTGGTCATTCAGAATTATATCTGTGTTTTTTAATTTGTTGATTTCCATAGATTCTAACAAAGATAGCTTAAGGCCTTTATTTTGAATGTGAAGAATTTTAAATTTGTCATTAAAAGAATGATTATGATCTAGAAGGTGAAGTGCGTATGTCGAATCTGTTTTTCTATTCTTGAAAGCCCTTTTATGTTCTGCTATTCGTTTCTCAAAGTTTCTAAAAGTTTGACCGATGTAAGTTTTTGGGCAGTCGCCACATTGAAATTTATACACACCACTATTTAAGTGTTTTTTATTTTGGCTCTTGTTATTTTTAATATATTTACCTAGGTTGTTATTTGTTCGGAAAGCTGGTGTTATTCCTTTCTTTTTTATGTGTTTGGCAATTTTTGTTGTTATTTTGCCTGTATATGTAATCGAGCAGAAGGTACTGGGTTTTTTCTCTGGTGGTGGAAATACTATTTTCAGGGCTTTCTTGTGTAGTTTTTGATTTAACATTTTATTAATTGTTTGTTCGTTGTATCCGTTGTTTACTGCTATTTGCTTAATTATATTTAATTCTGTCTCAAAGTTGTCTTTTGACATCGGAATTTCTGTTAATCTATGTAACATACTATGATAAGCTGCCAGTTTATGTTGTGTTGGATGGGATGATGAATTGTGTATAGTCGTGTCAGTATGGGTAGGTTTGTGAAATATGGAGAAGTCATGTTTGTTTTGAAGTCTGCTAATTTTTAAATCTAAAAAATGTATGCATTGATTTTGTTCTGTTTCTATTGTAAATTCAACATGACTATTAAGTGAATTAATATACGATGAAAATTGGTCGAGTTGCCTGTTAGTTCCTGTGAAACATACCAGTACGTCGTCTACGTATCTCCACCAATATAAAAACTGTTTGAATACGGGATTTTTTGAAATCTTTGTCTCTAGATGATCCATAAAAATATCTGATAGCAATGGGCTTAGAGGATTACCCATTATAAGTCCTGCACTGTTATTTGTATATATTTTATTATTAACTTCAAAGTAGTCCTAGTTTATGCAAACTTCAAGAAGATGTAAGATTTCAGATGTAATTATTGGATTTGTACTATTTTGGTCTAAAACGTTTTTTACTAGAATAAAAGTTTCTGTAGGAGGGATACTAGGAAAAAGATTTTTTACGTCAAATGAAATTAATCTGGAGTTGTTAGGTAATTGAATCCTAGTATCCCTGCTACAGAAACTTTTATTCTAGTAAAAAACCTTTTAGACCAAAATAGTACAAATCCAATAATTACATCTGAAATCTTACATCTTCTTGAAGTTTGCATAAACTAGGACTACTTTGAAGTTAATAATAAAATATATACAAATAACAGTGCAGAACTTATAATGGGTAATCCTCTAAGCCCATTGCTATCAGATATTTTTATGGATCATCTAGAGACAAAGATTTCAAAACATCCCGTATTCAAACAGTTTTTATATTGGTGGAGATACGTAGACGACGTACTGGTATGTTTCACAGGAACTAACAGGCAACTCGACCAATTTTCATCGTATATTAATTCACTTCATAGTCATATTGAGTTTACAATAGAAACAGAACAAAATCAATGCATAAATTTTCTTACGCACTTCACCTTCTAGATCATAATCATTCTTTTAATGACAAATTTAGAATTCTTCACATTCAAAATAAAGGCCTTAAGCTATCTTTGTTAGAATCTCTGGAAATCAACAAATTAAAAAACACAGATATAATTCTGAATGACCAACTTGAGACAAACAGTTCTCCCCTCCTCAACCTATTTCATTAGAGACTATAAATTTGTAAACCCAAGCAAAAATAGATCACTTGAGAAAGGCTATCAGCCGAAACAGCTGTAGTGATAATAGTTAAAATAAATTTTGTGGAAGTTTGAAAACAAAGTTTTCAGTGTTTTATTGTTACAATTATCTAATTATTAGAACAAACTAAACTCACTTTACACAACACACGATACAAAACATAACCTTAAAAGCTGGTGTAATAACAAACACTGTCACAATATGCTTTTGGAGAGAAGTTAATATGGTCAAGTGACAAGTGGAAAGTAAAAAAAAAAGAGTAGAAAATAGAAAACAAAAAAGAATCAAGAATATATAAAACTGGAATATTATCCTTTTAGATGTCAATGATGAAAATAATCTCGTTGAGGTCAAAAGGGGTAATATTCCAGGAATGTTCAGGAAAACTAGCTCAATATGAGCTATTTAATTTGATGAGATGTTATATGTTTTTGACTAAGTCTGTAGAGCTTGGTAAAGTGAACAAAACTGCTATCTTAATTAAATGTGGCAAAAAATGGAATGCTATCCTTTTATATCTCACCGATTCAATTTCTACTAAATAATATTTCGCAATAAAATTTGAAATTTTAGGGAATTGAGGTTAATTCTTTGATGCTGCAAGTAACTTCTGAAATCACTTGGTTGAATCAGTGGATCAAAGCTCAAGCCCAGCTGAATGTAAAAGACTTTGCAGGTGCTATTAAGACTTACAAAAATATGGATATGTATGGATTGTTAAAGGACAATACTGCATTATTAGTTAGTATGGCACATTGCTACCATTATATGTGTGATGATGCTAAAGCGATTTCTATATTACAAAAGGTAAGTTTTACGATCAATATATATTACTAGAATCACAAATGCGAATGTTTTGAATATTTAAAATAGTATTTACATATTTTACATTAATTTCATTGATGATTATAAATTTCTGAATGAAACAAACGCACCATAAACATTTCTTTAAAAGGTAAAAAAAAAATATAGAGTGGCCCAAAAGTCTGGAAACGGCCAATTATCTCGTAAATTGTTAGTCATAATTGTACAAAATTTGAGGTACACCTATTTTGGGATACGGAGATTCCATATTTGATATTTACAATGTTGCCAGATTTGCCGTTTCTCTTATATTATTAGTAACTACGGTTCTTCAAATTTATCACCCTGTATATTCAGTCATTATTGGAATCTCCTATTCAATACGAGTTTAACCATATGTAACACTTATGATTTTATGATGTCTGGAAAGTCTTAAATACATACAACAGAAATCTGGCAACGCGTAATAGTTGTTGTAAATTTATAGTTTACAACATTTTTTAACATAATGGTTACTTTATCAAGTGTTCAAAATGTGCTCCATTTATGAGTGGACAGCACCCTAATCGATGATAGAATGCGTCTGCCACATTTCTTCATGATTGGTCTTGAAATTATTCGAGATTCATTGATTATTTGTTGCCTTATTTTAACTCAGGCTTCTTATTTGAGTTCAGAAATAGTTTATCTTTTTATAATGTTCAATAACAACAGGAGTAGAAGGAAATTAGTAAAATTCAAATTCGTTCAATACAATTAAATATACTGTTGGATAAACTACAGTAATCCTTCTTCAACCGCGGAGGTTGGAGAACAATCCTTTACTCGCTTGGAAACTAGAAGATTCGTTGTCAGCTTTTATATTGTCTTCAAGACGAAGAGCCTTTTCCTTGTTGCTTGAACTAGTGCCATACAAAACACTGGAACCAATGGTTTTCTCACTCTTTAATAGTCCTTGCTGTAGATTCATTCACTTTATCTTTGTGGCACTTTTCGATGATTCCCCTGCAGCAAAACAGTCTAACAACTGAATTTTTTATCTAAATTCATTACACATCTTCTTTTTTTAATAAACTCTTTGCTATTTCTTTTAGGTGAAGACACTGTTCAATATAAAAACTATGTACATTAAACCGAGAATGAGTATTGTATAATTGTTGTTACCATACGTGAAATGCGAAGAAGTAGATTATGTATGTACACATCTGTGAAATACCTCAACTAAATGTGACGCATAGTAGTGATATCGTCGGGTGTCAGTTAATTATCGTGTATACTGTATAGAATGTCGTCGATTTATGTATAAATCGTCGAATAAGCAAAACCGCGGTTGATGAATCTGCGGATAACGAGGGATTACTGTCTTCTTCTTCTCGTGCCACTCCTAGCGGAGATTGGAAATCATCATGGCCACTGCGACTTTGTTAGCAGCGCGCCTAAAAAGTTCAATCGAACTACACCCGAACCATTCACGTAGATTACGAAGCCACGATATTTTTCTTCTTCCCACACTTCTTTTGCCCTGCATGATGTTTCTTAAAAGTTCGTACTTTTCACCTCTCACAATGTGCCCCAAGTATTCCATCTTTCTAGTTTTTATCTCATTTAGAATTTCGCATCTTTTGTCTAAAGTTTGGAGTACTTGCGTGTTAGTGACGCGGTCCATCCATGATATTCTGAGAATGCACCTATAGCACCACATCTCGAAAGCTTCGATGTTTTTTATGGTCAACAGTTTTATAACATATCAACAACATATCAACAACGTATCAACAGGTTAATAAAACAGGGTAGAAAAGACATAACACCGCAGCATTCGTATTCGTAACTTTATATTGATATCACGATTGCAAAAGAGTTTGCGTATTCTATTAAAGACTGATCTAGCGATTTCTATTCTACATCTAATCTCTTTTGTTTGATCAGTATCGTTTGTGATCCAAGCACCTAGGTACTTATAACAGGGCACGCGCTCTATCGTTGTATTGTCTATTACAAGATTAGCTCTGATGTTCTTTGATTTCGTGATTACCATAAATTTAGTTTGTTTCAAATTAATTTTCAAGCCATAACTGTTACAGTATATATTGAGACTTTGAACGAGATGTTGTAGTTCTACTAGCGTTCCCGTTAGGAGAACTGTATCGTCAGCATACCTTATATTGTTGATCGTCTCACCATTTATTATCAGACCAAGATCTTCTTCCTCGAGTGCTTGTTCACAGATAGCTTCACTATACAGATTAAATAAAAGTGGCGATAAGATACATCCCTGCCGGACTCCTCGACGGATTTGAATTTCTTCTGTTAGTCTGCCCTCAACCTTGACATTTGCTGTTTGATTCCAATATAGATTGCATATAATTCGAATATCTCGGCTGACTATATTTTTCTTTATTAGAACTTGTCTTAGTGGTTCATGTTGTACTTTGTCAAAGGCCTTTCCGAAATCAATAAAGCAGGCGTAAATTTCTTGGTTCATGTCTAAGCATCTCTGTGAGAGAACGTTCATTGCAAACAGAGCCTCCCTTGTACCCAGCCCTTTTCTGAATCCCATCTGAATGTTACTGATGTCTACGTCTAATTTCCTATAGATCCTATTATGGATTATTTTTAAGAACAGTTTTAGAGCATGACTCATCAAAGCTATCGTACGATATTCGTTGCATTCCTTTGTATTTGCCTTTTTTGGCAGTAGTATAAAGGTCGAACGGAGCCATTCCCTAGGTATTATTCCAGTTCTATATATTGTGTTAAATAGATCTAGGAGTATTTTAATAGATTCATCGTCCATAAGTTTGATCAGTTCTACGGGAATTTCATCAGGACCGGGGGCCTTACCACTTTTTGCTTGTTTGATTGTATATTCTATTTCTTCTCTGATTATATCAGGCCCTGTATCATCTGTATATTCGTTTGAGATTTCTTGTCTATTTTTGTCATCAAACAGTTGTGATATGTATTCTGTCCATCGGTTCATTTTTTGTTGTAAATCTGTTATAATTATACCATCTGTATCTTTGATCTGTCCTGTCTGTGTTGTTCTTCTCCTTCCTGTCATTTCTTTAATCTTTTTGTGTACATTAAAAAAGTCATATTTTCGCTCCAATTGTTCCAACTCCTGGCATTGCTCACTTAGCCATCTTTATCTAGCTTCTCCTATTTTCTTTTTTATCAGTTTATCTGTTTATTTGTATCTTATCGGATTATTTGTTTTGTGTACTCTTCTTTCACGCATCAACTGTAGTATTTCCTTATTCATCCATTCTTTATGTTTGTTAATGGGATTACTGTAATATAAAATAATTTTGTCGTATTGTTCAGTTTCAAATCTTTATGCCTGTGCAATATTGGTTCATCAAAAACGCTGTAGCTTCACTCCTTTCTTTGATCTGCTTACACGGAATCTAGATTAAACGTCCTAATGATCCTTTCGATCCCTTGTCTATGATTCTCCCCATGAATAATCACTGGTTTCTACTTACAATAAATACTGCAACTTCTTCTTATGAGCATTCATAGATCAGAACTGCTACCCATTTTTAACTCTTATTCACAAATTACTTTTACACTGTTTAAATTTACCGGCACTAGTTCACTTGTCAGGATTAAATGTTCTTCCTTATAACGTCAAAAACAGATAACTACTATTCTTCTCTGCTCTCAAAATCCACCATCATCCAAAATCTCCTTCCACCCTCACTTGTTAGCCAATCATCTTTCCGTATTTCAAAAACAAACTCAAGTTTCCAATTTCTGAAGAAATCACTCAACTTTCCTATTTTCTGTTTTCGATAAACAAAATAAACAATGGGCCTCAATAATTCGCTTTCTACAAATTCCCAGAGTAGTTTTTAAGTTTAATTCCAGGCACAAAAAAATAAAACCAACCGTTAAACTTTTATTTTTTGTCTAATTCAAACCATGAAGGGACAACTAAAAGATTTTTTCCATAAATTTTGGTAGCGAAATAAATTGTCAATTTTACATATTTTAAATCTAACACTAATTATATATTATTCTAAATTAGTCCGTTACTAATAAGTCCGTAATAAATTCATATCACTTTTAACATACACAAAAAAAACCATATGTAATTATAATTTTCTCTGACTTTGTAATTCTTCTACATTTTCGGATCAGAACATTCGCTCTCCTTCACTCCTTCCGATCACTTATCTCCAGCGGAGCAAGGTCTGGTGACCTACCTGACCATTTTGTGAAATGCTATCCCAATCCATTGATTTGGCAATATTTCGTTCAAATAATTACGAATGGTCGCATTATAATGGGGAGTAGCTCTGTCTTGCTGGCTATCGTACAGCTATCTTCTAGATTATGTTCAAAAAATAAATAAAATTGTGCTTATAGATAGATTTTTGAATTTATAATCCAGATAGCAATGCCACTAGTGTTTGTTTATTATTTAATAAACTCAATTTAACAATTGGAGCTAAGTAAAAGAAGGTGGCATGTTATCTTTAGTGAAAACGTGTTGTTTTTTATTTAAGTAAATATTACTTTCTTTTCTACTGTTACAAATTAAACAAAGATTCTTGAAATTATCCACTTTTTTTCAGCAAATAGTGACAAATATTGCTGCAATATTAATTGCTTGCGTTTTAAAGCAATAGTGACAAATATTGCTGTTTTTAGAATTCCATTGTCTATTTTATGTTGACAGAAAAAAATATATGTTTCGGTCTAAAAAATTGTAGCTACATTAATATACATATGGCGAAAAACAACATTATGGGGACGTCATCAGAGTTGCGGTTATCTAAAATAGATATACAAAAATAAATGTAAAAAAGACACCTGCCTCGTGTGCCTAAATGGTATTAATGGAGACATTTTAAGGTTTCCAACCCAAATCGTTACTTCTACCATTTCTAGACCTATATCTTGATATTGTCATAGCTCTACTTTCTCCATTCTATTTAGTAATTATTTTAGTATTTTTCTGTTTATTATTCACTTGGTAATACCCAGTACATTGTATTAATTCTATTATATTAAATCTTTTAGTGTCTTCGATTAGATCCCAATTTAGTTAATGGAAGAGATCTGCTATCAACCTTATTAGCAGCATCGGGTACAAAAGAACATATACGAGCTTTAGAAGCAATGACCCCTACCATGGACATGTCAGCATGGAGTGCGGAGCATTGGGTGGTTTTAGGAAATTATATGTATGCTTTAAAAAAATATGACAAAGCTGCTTATTTTGGACAACAGGCTTGTTTACTTGATAGAAGAAATATCGAAGCACTTCTTTTAAAAGCAAATACTTTGTTGCAAATTAAAAAATATTCTGACGCTGCTACTCATTGTACTGAAGCGTTACAATTGTGTAATTATAGGTATGTATATTAGGAAATTATATATATTATGTTCCTATTTTCTATTCACAGAATTAAAAACCTTAAAATTAACCCGCCTATATGTATACGAAAGAATGTATTAAACAAAAACATCGATTACAATAAAGGACGGTGATCAATACAAGGATTTCGAGTTTTTATAATGTCTCGATAATAATATCTCAAGTTCTAATTAATGTTATAACTATTTAAATTGATCTTAATTCTCACATCGACGATATATCTTTGACTTTAGCGATTTTATTTAATTCATATACATGATAATGATAACGCATGTATAAAGACTTACCGGACCGAATAATATTGCGTCGCTATTTTATATCTATATATTCTTCTAGAGTAGGAGTTGAACCTACTGTGTTCCGTGAACAAATGAGTCAGAGGATACCTTAACTTCTCGTGTTCACGGCCGACACACATCTTGGGATTAGTGATGAGAAGTAGAGTCCCAATCAGCCTTCCCACTTTTTTCATCCATCTCCGCTGTCATTCATTACTCTCTTTTTCTCTCCATGTCAATTATTCCTCATATACTCAACCATCAGATCTATCAATAGCACTTCCACTGCACTGATACAGAATGGTATCGACTACAAATCTTGAGGAATGTCTTTCCATGGGCTCCTCTAATTTTTGAAGCATAGTTACCGATCTATAAAACCTCCATCCATAGCTGCAGTTCATATAAATGTATAATATGGACCACCGAGCATAACAGTCTCCTCTAATGGGTATACCCAGTAAGTTTGGATATTTGGTATACCCAGTATACTTGATACCGTTCCTAATTCCTTAACAGCTTACTCAAGCTGCGTGGTCGTCATGCATTTCCGCAGTAAATTCAACTCTTTCATCCGTCATTACCTATATCCTCTCTACACTAATCTCCAACTCTCTCTGCTATATTGTGGGGAGGGATCCAGTATATTTTCATTTATGTACAGTGCAATCTGCTCAATCACTGTATTCACCCTCACTTTTAATTCTTGTTCTGTTCCATCATAGTATATGTTTCACAAGATGGGTCAAAAGACAGACTCCTGCGGAATACTCGCAGGCATATTGAAGCTCTCTCCTTCGTTTACATATATTATCGTATTATTTAGGTAGTCTACTATCACGATATACGGAGTCCCCCTATTCCGTTCATCTCCCGGAGTATTCCCTCTTAGGAAGCTGAACCGAAAGCGTCACATTTAAAGCGTTTACATTCACTGAAAGTGTCACTAGAACACAGTAGCTCCTAGTACATCGTGTACCAGTGTTCCCCAATCTATCGATATCCTCCTATCCTATTCCCGAATAGGCCTACCATTATCCCTAACTCTCGCATAAATATTAAGTATTCACTTCAAGAAACACCTTTGTCATTATGTTCAGCAGGCCTAATGGGTAAGTAAGCAAAAATGCGAGTACCACAATAAAATTGACGAACAAACACGCTACAGAACCAATAAAATTCGAAAGAGGAATGAGGCAGGGAGACACAATATCACCAAAATTGTTCAATCAGGCAGTGGAAGACATATTTAAAAAATTAGAATGGGATACATACGGAATAAGAATAAATGGAGAGCTCTTGAACCACTTGAGATATGCAGACGATATAGTCCTGATAACAGATAAGAAGGAAGAGTTACAGAAGATGGTTGAGGAACTAGATAGAAAAGCGACAGAGGTAGGTCTAGAGATGAACTATAGTAAAACCAAGACTATGACAAACCAAGAAGACCAATTAGAAATAGTAGTCAAACAGAATAAATTAGAGCAGGTGGCAGAATACATATACCTAGGACAGATAATAAAGCTGAACAGGGACAATCAAACAGAAGAAATAAAAAGAAGAACTAGACTAGCATGGGCCTCATTTGGTAAACTATCATATATTCTAAAAAATAAAAAGTTCCCTCAATATATGCAAACGAAAGTATTCAATCGGTGCATTTTACCAGTTATCACATATGGCTCACAAACATGGACTTTCACAAAGGAGAACATCGACAGGATATCCGAAACACAAAGAGCAATGGAAAGACAGATGCTGGGTATCGGTCTTAAAGACAGGAAGAGAAACTCATGGATCAGAGAAAAAACAAAGGTGAACGATGTATCAAGACAGGTTGCAAAACTTAAATGGAACTTCGCCGGTCACACTCTCCGGCAAAAAGATGAAAGATGGAATAAGCGAATTCTACACTGGAGACCATGGGAAAAGAAAAGAAAAAGAGGAAGACCACAGATGAGATGGACTGACGACCTTAAGAGAACGGCAGGAAAGGACTGGATGCAGATCGCCCAAAATAGAGACCAATGGAGATTAACATGGGAGGCCTATGCCCAAGAGTGGGCGTTTAAGGCTGATTAGATAGATAGAAGCTTGAGTGCAAGCCTATAATCACTCCACTATCTTTCAAGCAGAAATTTTTGCTGTAGAGAATGCCTGCAGGAACTAATAAAGAGGAACTCAGGGACAGATCTATAAAAATTATATCAGATAGCCCTGCGGAATTAAAGGCAATGGAATCGAATCGAATTGACTCAAAGTTTGTTTTAAACTGTCTTCAGAATTTGATTCGGATCGGAAAAAGTAAGTTTAATCTGGGTGCCTGGAGATACTGGTAATTGAAGGGAATGAAAAAGCCGACCTACTTGCCAGGAGTGGCAAAATAATCCTGCATACGCCCAGAACCTTTCGTTGGCAGAACAAGAACCACAGCTAACAGAATAATATTGGACTGAGTGGAACGGATGATACGTAACCACTGGTACGAACAAATGGATCTTGAACATTCGTAGACCTTTATACATGAAACACCGAGGAAGAGATGCAAACATCTGCTAGATTTGAATAGTAGTGATCTGCGAATTGTTGTAAGTCTCCTAACAAGTCAACGTGATCTCAGAGACACATGAATAAAATTGGTCTGACAGAAAGTGCGGATTGCAAATTTTGTCCGGCTGAAGACGAGACGGTGGAAGACTTTCTGTGCAAGTGATATTAAACTTTACGTAACCTAACCTATATTTTGAATTCTCTCCCTTCTTTCCTTCGTTCTCCCTATCGTATAGCAAACGCATAGCAAACCATCCCTCATTCCAAACCCTTTAAAGCACATTTTGAACTTTCAATATCCTTTTGTTATTATATCCTACCTACCTATTTTTAATGAATTGTTCACTTTTTTAGGCATGATATTCACAAATGCTGTGTTGAATCCTACATCCAAAGTAACAGGATTAGAGAAGCTGAATCGGTAGCAGTAAATGCTTGCAATCAAATGAATTTTAGTGCACAAGCATATTGTGTGAGTATCATCTTAGTTTATTTGTTAGTCCTTTTATCAAACGTCTTATTCCACACCTAACGAATGGTTGGTTAGGTGTGGAATATGTTTTTCCTTATAAACCCATTACACGTCATCCAATTTGATGTCGTCATTTTCTGACAACGTTGTCAGATTATCAAGGTAGTAGGGAATGAAAGGAATTATGAAGTAATGAAAATATAAGAATATTATAAACCCATTTGTACAGTGATACATCGACAAAATATAATGAATGTAAATACACAATACGTATTAATAAATATAAATAATAAACAGTTATTGACAAAAGATTTATAAGACTAACGTTTTTGTATCCCTTAAAGGTTTAAATTCTAAGGTTTTAGAGAACTACTAATGCCAGATTATTAATATCTCCTTCAAAATAGGTACTGGTATCAGCAGCCCTTTATTATCAAGCTATTTACATATATTGATTTAAAGGAGACATACATCCTTACGACTATTGAGTTGATTTGACATTTTATTGATGCAAATGCAATACATAATTGCTTATTCACAATATTTTATATTAATAAAAATAGATATGACTACTTTATAAACAGAAGTGAAAATTTCTACCCTTCATTTGCACACCCTAACTCAAAGGTCAAAATACAATAAATTATTGTATTTTGAGTACTAAACTTGCGAACTTTTTTATAAATTTTATTTTATTCAGAAGAATATGACAAATCTAGGTCAAAATAATTAAACTATTTCTAAAATTATTGTGAGGATATTTGTATTATATAGTACTAGTTTATCTCTGATGTTTTGTGTTTTGAACTTTTCTAACTAAAGTAAGTAACATATTGAGTTGTTGAGCAAGATTTGGGAGTTCTTCTAGTGTTCCCGCCAAAAGACAGTGTCTCTAGCACATCTATATTATTGAGTGACACCGTTTATTATTAGGTCTTCACGTACTTCGACCAGCGCTAATTCGTAAGATGGTTTCATTATATAAATTAAACAACAATGGTGGTAGAATACTCACTTAGCGCACCCCACTTCGAATCTGAATGTCCTCATTTAGTTCATCTTAAACTTTCACTTTTGCTCTTTGATTCTGCTATAGGTTACATATAATTCTAATGCCTCTGCTGTCTATTTTTTTACTTAAGGCGATTGTGATGCACTCTGTCAAAAGTATCCTCGAAATCGATGAAACAGGAATTATAATTCCTGATTCATATCTAGACATCTCTGCGAAAGAACACTCATTGCAAACAGTGCATCTCGAGTCAATAGACCTTACCTAAATCCCATTTGTGTATTACTTATTTCTTCGTATATTTTCTTATGTATTCTATTGTGAATAATTTGTAAAAATAATATCAAGGCATGACACATTAAAGCTATGGTGCAATGTTCTTTGCACTCCTTTGCATTGGCTTTTTTTTGGGAAGCAATATAAATGTCGATTTGAGCCATTGGTTAGGTATTATTCCTTTTCTATATATTAGGATTAGTTTTTTTCAATACATATTCTCTCTTATAATGTCATATTAAGTATCATCTTTAAAACTGCTTCTATTCTTTCTTTATCTTCAGAAATCTGTCTTATATCTTCCTATCTCAATTTTCTGGTTTAAATCTGTTAAAATTGCACCACTTTTATCTCTCAATTGTCCAGCTCGAACTGTTTTTCTCATTTCCGTCAATTCCTTTTATGTATATTAAAAAAGTCATATTTTTCTCAAATCCTCCCAGTTCTTGACACTACCCACGTAAGGGTTTCTTTCAAACTTTGTAAGCCATTCACGAGATACAAGTAAGTACTTGTAAGACACTACGAGACCTTATGTCTTCTTCCACAAACTTTATTTACTGTTTGTCTCGATGTCTAGTCACTTGAGTTAAGAAAAAAGAGGCTGTTGTCTGACGTCAGCATATGTTGAACTTTCCCATTTATTGTACCGATACCGCTTAAACCATTCACAATAAAAAGGGTCGGTGTACTTCTGTGAAATTAACGGCTGGGTACACTTAAGCCATAAAGATGGAAATAATCTTATGAATGGATAAATATTTCATGATTATTTTGTGAAAATTTCGAACAGCACCTAAGTTACCAATACCATAGCGATGATTGAGCATCGTGCTACCTGCTACAGTTTCGTTATTTGTAATTTGTTTGCGTTATCCTGGTCACTGTATGATATCTAGAACATCAATTTTTTGGGTTCTCCATTTCCATTTCAAGGTCGCTAATTTACCACTTGCATATGAACCTCTGGCATTCCAGGTTGCTATTTTCAATGTCTTAATGTTAAATGCACAGATATTTCTCTAGTTTACGACCTGGAAGCTCTGTGCTCTCCCTGCCTGTGATTCTGTGGTCCATAACTAGTAAATTTATTTACTTTATTAATTTGCCGTGCCTGATTTTACTAGGGGTACTCGACGAGTCTTCAGTACAGTAGTTCCATGTTGCCTTTTGCATCCTTATGCTGTTGATCTGGGTTCATCCGCCTTCGAGATCGATTTCTCAATCTCAGGACAAAAGAGTGCCCCACCACTTACCAACTGATCCGTCGAACGCCGTTGAATCACTCGGTGAAATTTTTGCTACATGTGGCTACTCTCTGTTCTGTATATCGTTTTGTAGTCGTCCACATTTATTTTATTTCAGTTTCTGTTTTGTTTCAGTTATGATGGGGCTCTATTTATATTACGATTTGTTTAGTTCGTCGTTTATTTCTTGTTTCTTTGACCCTAATTCTCTACAACTCAAGGCAACCCTTTTTATTCTATTTGTTATTCCATCTCTTTTATCATTGACTTTAGTCGTCATTGATTTTGATATTTTCGGTATTATATTTTGACGATTCTGAGTATTTTTAATTTTCCCAATACAGACTACCAATCTGTAGCTAGGTAAGTCGGATGGTGGAGATAGCTTGATAGTACCTTTATTATATACCTACATAACAAAAAAGACGTTAGTAATATTAAGGGTTGATCGTTATACCATATTTATGTTTTAGTTGCATGCATCTGTATTACTAAAGGATCCTATGGCTTCCAGTAGAACCGTCAGAAAAATTTTAGAGAAAGCAGTAGCACAAGATAAAACAGGAGTCACAAATGCATTGCCCATGTTGGTTGAATTTTTGGAAAGCGAGCAGCAGTACGGTCCAGCTTCGCACCTCCTACTAAAGCACATAGAAACTCATAAACCGTCATCGAGACTTCATCAACTCTTGGGTGATTGTTTTGTTAATCTTCAAAAAGATGACGAAGCATTCCATCATTATACACTGGCATTGAAGTTGGATCCTACAAATCAGAGAGCTACAGAAGGCTTGAATAATATCGGTAGGAGCTTATCGCTTAGTAAACGAGATAGTTACTATACTTGCGTCGGAGGTGAGACTACTTATAATTCTCAAGTCACTAATTCTTCCGATCCCGATGTTGATGTTGAAAGTGTAGATCCTTGGCAACGTGATATTGAAAGTTTCGACGAATGTTAAATATTGTACTGATTATGTAAATTTTATTTTGTATATTTGATAATTATCAATACTCTATTGTTTATATTAAACTATGTTTTTATATTATTACATATTATTTTGCCATTAAACTCTCAATTTATATGTTTGATGAAATTATTTCTCTAACCATAACTGAATTTTAAAGATATTTAGGAATATTCGTAATTAGCGCGATGCTAGGGAATGGAAAATTCGAAAAAGACGCCGCATATATCACACTAAAACCTCTGTGACACTAATATGGCTATTAAAAATCGGGGTAGGTAATAAAGGGTTGACGATTAAGGGATGCATGTTTTTAATGCCACATCATAAAAAATAAATTCTGTTGAAAAAATGGAAAAAAAGTTTGGCGTGGACCACCCTTAACCCTTAGGGAGAGCGCCAACCAAACTGGCATGGCAAGTAGCAAGCGTCTAGCAAGTGACCAAGCGTCTAACAAGTGACCTAACCTAACCAATGAAAACGAATGATTCAGCGCACACCAAAATGACAGTGATGTCATTTATTCTAATCATTCGTTTGCATTAGTTACATTTGAAGTAACATGCTAGACGCGTGCTACTTGCCACGTCACTTTGGTGGGCGCTCTCACTTAGAGGTATGAAAAATACATTACTACCTATTCTCAGACATATCGAATATAAAATTATTAAAATATAAAATTTCATAAAAATCGGTCAAGCCGATTCGGAGGAGTATGGCAACTAACTGATTGACACTAATGTTGCTATTAAAAAATAGAGGTTGGCAATAGAAGGGTGAAAATGGAGAGCTTATGTATTTTGAATGAAGAAATAAAAATAAGAGGCTTTTGTACATCCCTGAAAATGAAAAAGTATGAAAAATAGATTACGACCAATTCTCAGACCTACTGAATATGCATATAAAATTTTATAAACATTGGTCAAGCGACTTCGGCGGAGTATGGCAACTAACTCTGTGATTCTATATGGCAATTAAAAAATAAGGGTTAATAATAGAAGGGTGATTTATGAGTTTTATATATTTTTTACTGCCACATTAAAAAAAAATTGTCCAAAAAATAAAATAAAAATTTTGGGTTTCATACACTTTTAAGTCCAATACTTGAAAATCCTAACGGTGAATTTCAGTGGGCTATCTCTTTCAAAAATTTCTTTCTTTACGAAAACAAATTTTTTCCTGAAGTAATATTTTTAACGTCCGTCGTTCAGATATCTCTCAAGTCCAGGTCAAAAATGGTTTCATCTTTTACTCGAGCCGATTATACAACCGGGACACCCCTGAAGTGACAGGTTTGGGGCTACACAATAAAACCATAAACTTCTGTTTAGCGGTGTTATGGGTAATTAGAATAACAGACCGGAGTAATATTATTTATTAATAAATAATTTACAACGTAACAAATAATTTTTTTATCACTTTTTTATGAAAAAATTGGCTGACTGAATTTTAACGTAGATTAATAGGAGTAAATTGTGGAAGAGTGTCTATTTTTGTTTTGTTTAGTTAAGTCACAACTTTTCCATGCAATGTGAGTTGAAAACTACTGAATTTTAGTTTAAATAAATTATTTAAGGTAATTGAGAGTTTTTAAACTTATATCCAGAAACAAACAGAAACAGATTTTAAGTTAAGAGGTTTTGGAGTTTAGGTATCGTTATATATTATTTTAATTAAATAATGTAATACTTTTTCAAAAACTTGCATTTGTTTTAATAATTCGAATATATTAATTAGTCCCATTACTTTTTCTTATGAGCAGTAACTTTTCTAGCCTTTTGGTGAACTTGCGATAGCCTTGGGTTGCTTTGGTTTTTTCGTAGGACTGTCTTTAATTGATTTCTTCGCTTTGGTTTTACTTTTTCTCTGCCTTTGACGCGCTTCTTTAGCATCAGTCACTTTTTTTGCAGATTTTGCCTTGCCGCTAGTAGCAGAACGTTTGGCGGCGGTGGCAGTTTTTTTCGGTTAGTTGTTCCTCCAGTCTCCAGTTCCTCGATCGATCCAGTAGCAAGCTCCTTTTTTTTGACGGAGTTGCGGGGGGTGTGAGAAAAACGTCAATTGAACGAAACGCGAGCTAAGAAGTAGAGAACTACTAAGGAAAAGAGGGAAAAGGTGGTTTTTTTTGTGTGATCGATAAGAATTGATAGAATGCACAAGAAGTTGGGTTTGCCTAGCATGCAGTGTGAGGTACTTTAGGGTTACCAGCCATACAGTAGGAACGGCTCTTTATCAGCGTTTTTGGTGCGCAGTTTATCTGAGATAATAGATTGGGAAAGATTCAAGAATATCAAAATACTCCTCAGGAAGTTCCGGTCCAGCGTTATGTAGAAGTTTAGCTGGAGGGAATTGAACTTTTTTGGCGGGATGCCTGGTGAGTATTTGCCCTCTATGTGAACAAGGTGTCTTTAATGTTTGTTTTGCTCGTTTGTTCGAGCCAGCTATGGTTCTTAAGACATACTTCCTACTGAGGGTTATTATTCTGTCCTTAATTGGCGTGATGTTGGTTAGTGCATAAATGTGGGCTGATGGATACAGCCAATATTTTCTCATGCAGAAACGTAGCATTCTACGCTCGGTAGCAGTAATGGCGTTGAGTTTATGGTTCCTCAGGGAGAGGTAAACGCATGCCTTGTATTCGATTATTGGTCTGATGAAAGTCTTGTAGGTGTGCAACAATGTGTTAGAGGACGTTCCTCCTAGTTTACCGGCCAGCACTTTCAGGAGGTTGAGCCTTTTTCTCATCCTGTCAAGGGATTCTTGGACGTCAGCCTTCCAATTGAGAGTTCTCGTAAAACGAACTCCCAAGTAGAGAACTGAGTTCCTGAGAATAAGGTCCTCTCCCAAAAGTGTCACCCGGCCCTGGAGGCCGCGTCCGTAAGGAGGTCTGAATAAAATTGCTTGGGTTTTAAAGTGACCCTCCATTTGTTGCACCACCTCACGACTCTATCAAGGTAGTCTTGCGATTTTTCGAATACAGACCGTCGCTCTCCTTCCCTGTAGGAACTTGAGGTGAGAATGGCTGTATCATCAGCGAATAGGAGTAGAGACTCTGATCCTTGCTGTGGGCGGGGGATGTCGCTATTGTAGACTGTGTATAATATTGGAGCAAGTGTATAAGCATTGTGTATAATATTGGATATTTATGAATTTCATCAAGTACTAAATATGAATTCAAAACAATCCATTTGCAATAGAATCTAGGACTTAAGTCGTAATTGCACGATTTTCAATCAAAACTTACATAAAATTCAATACGTAAGGTTCAGGAGACCGATTTAAATCGCTACGTTTGACTCGATAGGCGCGAGACTATATCGTATTTACACACATCGACAGTTGCGGGTGTGTATGCATAAACACGGGAACGCTCGCCCACACTTGTAATGATTCGGAATAATTAATTATAAAAATTAAAAATCTAATTTTCGGGCTCTCGGCACGTGCCTAGGCCTTAGTCCGCTCCTGAATATATGTGTAAAGTTTACGATTACTCCAACTCCCTATTCATGTGATCCATTACTTTTTCCCGAGTAGTATACCTTGTGATCTTCCACTGGTATTCAGAATCTGGTCATCTCATTTCTGCTATTTCCATTTCAATATGCATTCTCTTCATCTCCTGTATTGCATTGTGGATTTTTCCTGCTTTATATAAAGTTTTGATATCCCATGTCCAGATTTTGATATTCTTTCTGCACTTCAGTTTATTATCTGTTGATTAACTCAAAACAGTTCTCCCCGGAGGACATATTTTTGAATTGATTTTAGTATTGAGCATTGCCATGACATCTACATGCCAAGATGAGTTCAATCAATATGTACAGTTGCGGTCACATAATAGTTTACAGGTTCACGTATCTAGGAGCCCATTTTTTAAATTTTTACTTCGTTTAAACGCACCTTTTACGTCAAAGTGACGTTGCCAGTGGTGTACTAGCTAGAATAGGTAGATTAAAATTAAAATATCAAAATATTTTACAAAATGAAAAATATAGAAAACAATTTTTTGAATAAAATGGATTATGATCTTAATAACGAAAATAAAGAAGTCTTTTTTTTTAATATGCATTTTATTTTAAATCTATTTTATATTAAATAACGATAAACAATGATAAATAATAATTAATATTTGGTGGAAGCCCCATTCTTGTCAATACAATTTTGCAGTCTTCTGTTCATAGATAGCACCAATCCCCTCATGTTATAGTTAACAAGCTCTTCCCATGCCTGCTCAATTGCTTCCCATAATTCAATTCTATTCCGTGGTCTAAGGTTTCTTTCATTTAGTTTCTTTGTTAACTCTGCCCACACATTTTCGACGGGGTTAAAGTCTGCACTACGGGAAGGCCACGGAAGAACATTAACATCAGTTTCTTCTAGCCATTCTCGAACAATTCTACTCGTATGCACCGGGCAATTGTCATGTTGGAAGATAAAGTCGTTGTTGGGGAATCTCTGGATCACCGATGGCAACATTGTGTGCTCAATAATATGTTTGTAATATAATCCTGTTAACTTCTCCTCTACATGATAACAAACGCCCGGGCCTTCGGCACTTATCCATCCCCATACGTTGACAGAGAATCCTCCACTATTTCTTAAATGATGCGTATACTGTTCATCATACCTATGATTTCTCGGCCTATAAACTCTTATTCGACCATTATTATACGACTGAAATACTTTTTCATCGGAAAATACAACCCTAGACCAAAAATTCTCATCGCGGTTTATAAATTCATTACAAAATTCAACTCGTCTCCTCTTGTGATCCTCAGTCAAAAAAGGTTTCCGTGCAGCTACACAATTTAGCAGTCCACTTGCTTTAATTCTTCGACGTGCAGTGCGAATACTGCCTGGAAACGCTGCCTCTTCTCTTGCCTTTTGAGCTGTGGCAAAAGGAGATTCTCTCAAATAATCTACTAACATCTCATCCTGTTGATCTGTGGAAATCTTCTGCCTCCTGAACCGCCCAACCGTGCTATAGAGTGAAAATTATCCCATCTTTGTTTAATCTTCCATATGCACATATGACTCACGTTCAAATCAGCAGCAACTTGCCTTAGTGACTAACCTTCTTCGAGTTTGGCAATTGCTCTTGCTTTTTGCGCATAATTCAAATGTATTCTAACCATTTTGGAAGAGTTTAATATACTTTTATTTTATTGTTGAACACTCGCGAAAGCATTGACGTTTTGAAATTTTTTAACTTTGACATTTATCAAATCCGTACGACACTGCAATTTTACAGTATTACAATATAAAAAGTAAGGTGTAAACTATTCCGTGACCGCAACTGTACAATGAACAGTTCAATTATATATGTAATTTTTTCACACGCGTCTTCTCAGTTAATATTTAAGTCCAAATATGTTTTTAGAACTTTACCTCCAAGGAAAAATTAAACTTTCTCTATAGTTCACAACATTGCCTGGCGAATGGATTTTTGTGTCCGCAGTCATAAAAACACAAACAAACAACACAACATTGCAGGTTTCTGTAATTTCACCTTACAAACTCTTACTAGTTTTGTAATTCTGCGCAAAAAAAGAAATAAAAGAAAGTCGTTAATCTAAAAGTAATTTATTACAAGTGTTTAGTAACTAAAATGCCATATAAAAATCTACTTCCTTGCCTATTATGTTCTATACTTATTTTTCATCCTTTTCTACATTTCGATAATCTGAAAAATATAAATATATATATTAATAAAAACAACTAGACAGTAAGTACATTATCATTTAATGATAACGAATTATCAGATAATTGAAAAAAAATCTAGAGCATAAGTTAAAAAACAAAAATGAAAAAAATAATAGAATAAATAAAACGTCCGAAAAATTGTCTTCATATACTTAAATTTTTCATCCAAACTACTTGTGGTTTTTTTAATGGTTCACCATTCGTCTTACTCGAGAGTAGTTGTGGTAAACAATTGTTGATTTATGTGTTATAATCACGTAAGTAGTGGACTTTTCAACACTTTATTACATATACTCATCATGCATACGTGTAATAAACCAAGATAAAAAACACACAAGAACAAAGTGACTAAGAAGTTCAATTATTATAATTTTGGAAGTCAACAAATTGACATGATATGATGTCATTACTGTTATAATCATGAAATCTAAATTTTGTAATGTTATTAGTTTGCTAATAAAATCTAACTAATCATAATTTGTCATGCTAGGTTCGAAATATGGAATCAAAGTAAATATGTCGTGAATTGAGAACTTTTTTAATTGAAGTATAGACATTTTGTTAATACTATTAGAACTAAACTAGTTACCCATCTTTCCATCATCACCATCTTCCGATCCCTGACTTCGTTCAGCTTCTGCAGATCCTGGTCCTGCTTGGGGGGAACCATACATCTGTCCATCTTGAGGAGGTGGTGGTAGCGGTTGACCCTCGGCTGAAGGTGGACCTCCATGTGGACCGGGACTTCCTGGATAAGGATGACCAGGGCCAGGTCTACCACCAGCATGTGGAGGATACTGCGGATATTGTTGATGATAATATCCGGGATGTGGAGGATATTGACCACCCGGTGGAGGTGGACCTGGTGGTGGATATCCACCTTGTGGATGAGGATAGGGTTGCTGTTGCGGTGGATAACCTGGGTAGCCTGGATGCGGTGGTCTAGGTGGCAAAGGTACCGACTGCGGATTTGGTCCTGGAATTTTCGTATTTACAGTTAAAAGAAATACAAACAGGCCACCTTAATTTTATATACCTTGCGGCGGATACTGCTGAGAATATTGTTGAGGGACCTGTGAAGGTGGCATCATCGGATTCTGATGTGGTGGTGGTCCTTGAGGTGAAGGCGGATGAGCTGGATTTTGCTGCATATGAGGAGGCATGGGACCGTGGGGACCTTGTGGTGGCACGTTTAAAGGAGGTCCTCCCGGTGGCGGTTGTTGTGGTGGATGATGTGGCGTACCAGACTAAAAATGTTTGTAAACAAATTAAGTATAGGAGTAAGTCCAAGTTTGTTAGTATATAATTAGCAGGCACTGGAAATCGATTGTAATACACAGTTATCTACGGGATTTGTTAGATTTAGTACAAGTTTTTTAAAGAATAATCCAAAATAATAAATACTATAACAAACTTGAGTGTGTATACAATTAAGTATACATAGATATTCAGCAAAATTTTGTATGCGCACTAATTTTTGTATAAGAGATCCACATATTCTCGAAAATATACATGGTTATGACTGACTTAGGTACATTAATATAATATGTTACGAGATAACTCGTTTTTATGTTTGTTGATATCCTGATTTTTGGCATATAAATGAAAATTTGCGAAAAAAAGTTTTAAAAATAACGTTTTAGGATATAGGCCTTTTTCTGTATTGGCATAAGAATTTTATAATCTTCTGTCCTAAAAATTCGAAAATTTTCTGTAGTTTGTTGAATAGAAAATTCCTAGTTTTAATAAACCACTGATTGTTTTACCTATAGAAGAACAAACAAACAAAAATATTTATTTTTACTACAAGAATTTTTAACCAATTTTTAGCGACTTAAAAACTTTATATCAACGTTTATACAGAAAAATTATATTAAATAATGAATATCTTGATGGTATCGTAACTTCCTTTTTCCTGGGCATACGTTAAAACTTGGTGTTAGATGATATCTATGTTGGAATCCCCAATCAACAACGTATCATTGGCGTATTTGATACTATTGATGTTTACGCCGTTCACCTTGACTCCGTCCTTGGAATCCTCCTCTGCCTCTTTAAATAGAAACTCGTAATACAGATTAAACAGCAGGGGTGATGAAACATATCTAACTTCTCTTCGAATCTCTACCTCTGCCGATGTAGAACCTTCGATCGTAATTCTAGCGTTTTGGTTCCAGTAAAAGTTTTTCAGCAGCTTAATGTCCTGCCCATCTAAATCGACTTCTTGCACACGTTGTAATAGTAGGTTGTGCCTTATTCTATCAAATGCTTTTACAAGGTTTATGAAGCCAAAACTAGGAAACTGAACAGAGCTTTTCTAGTTCTCATCCGGCTCTGAATATTAAATACTTAAATTCTATATCCTTTCCATATACTTTCCATTTTAAACATGTAATTTTTTTGTATCGCCGTAAATCAAGTATATAATCTATTCAACTTCGATTCATAACTGGAAGGAATTAAATATTGGATATCAGAAAGTTAATAGATGTAGTAATAAATGTCATTCTGTGGAAGTGCCTATACAATATTCTGCCCAAAAGTTTTCGTTTCATAGCCTATTCTAATTAGAATTTGTCTCATGGTTGGTTATCCAATAAAGTTAGCGATCGTAAATTGGCAACTATTTATTTTGGACCACACATTTTGTGCTCCTTATTTAAATCCACTTTACTTTGTAACACATCATTCAATTATCTTAAAATTAGTTTCAAAATTGCGAAAACCCATTTTAATTAAAAATATGCTTCTTTAGGGTATCCCTTCCCAAAAATCAACTAACCTGATGTGGTGGTGGAGCATGTGGGTGCATATTTCCACTACTGTGAGGTGGTGAAGGTTCGTGTGCAGAATGAATAGATTGTGTGGGAGGTGGTGGTGGTTGATGGTGTTCTGGATGAGCAGCTGAAGGGTGGGCATAGTGTGGTGGGCCAACTGGGTGGGGAGACTGTTGGGGATGGTCCATTGTTGTTTTTTCCGCTTGGGGTGGTGAGGGACCGTTTGTTACGGCTGGTGCAGCAGGACCTTGAGATTGGTCCATTTTCTCGGATTGGTCTTGTTCCATGGGCTGTTGAGAAAATAATCGCATTTTCAAGATATACGTATAACAAATTATATTGAAATAAAAAGGTTTGTGTTGCATGTACATAATTAAAACCAAATGTAATATAAACCTACTTCAGATTGATTACTTCCATTTTCCTGAGTAGTAGGAGAAGTAACGTGGCCATTTTCCTCTGCTTTTACTTTATGATCATCTTGAGTTTTGTTCTTATCTCTCTTTATTATATCATATTGCCTTTCAACCATCTTCTGGAAGGTATCTTCATCGACAGCTGGCTTGCAGTGCTAAAATTTAAAAAAGACCATAATAGCTTATTCGTGATAGTAATTTAAAGCAGATAATAAAAAAAATAATAATAAATAAATAAAACGAACATAAGTTCTTTAATTCGAACATAAGAACCTTTCTAGAGAACACACCTGATCGTACCCAATCAATAATCATTAAAAACTACAAGTAGCACATTTTTATACCAGTAACATACTCTAAACCATATATATATATATATATATATATATATATATATATATATATATATATATATATATACAGGGTGGTGAATCGTCAAACGGGCCATAGGAAACTCAATGGGAAATTCTAAATTGTTGAATTCCTGCTTCCCTAATTATTTTACACCAAAAGTCATTGGAAACTATTTGTAGAGGACTCAAATATGTATCGAAAACAACTGTTAAAATTATTCTACGACTTAAACGTATTCCAAAATTTTGCTAAAATATAATACATTTTTCTGTGAAAAAATGTGTATTACGTGTTGCGTTTTGTCATATTATTGTTTCTGATATTTGACAATATTTAAATCAATTATATTACATTTATCTATGATTTAAATGGCCAAAATTTTGTGATTTTTGTTAAAAAAAAATTAAGTTGATTAAAAAATGTACTCAGTTGAGAAGAAAAAAGCAATAATAAAAATGTTTTATTCATGTTTTATTATAACATTTGTTATAGTTTTATGTTTAGACATTATCATATATTATTATTAGGAATAAAGATCACAGTAACAGTATATTGGAATTCATTGAATTGTTGTATAACTTAACATGGAATTAAATTTTAGTGAATTAGAATATCTTACGTTAAATAAAGATCCGGTAGTGGCAGGAAAAGGTTCGCGCTATTGCCTGAATACAACATTGTGCGATTTTTCGTCAACTGAGTACATTTCATTATATTGATCGATTTGTAAACAATATAATTTATTGTTCACAAAGTAATAATGTTCATTAGTAGTAGTATTTAGTAAAATTCATTGTTTATACTTTAATCATAAAATAAAAAAATTGACAATTCAAATTGTCAAACATCTGACATAAATATGATAAAACACAAACGTCCTAATATATATTCTTGCATTACGTGTGGCCTAACTTTTAGGGGTGGCCTGAAAAATGTATTATATTTTTGCAAAATTTTTAAGTACATTTGAGTCGTAGAACGGTTTTAACATTGGTTTTTAATTCAGATTTTAGTCCTCTACAAATAGTTTTTTATGACTTTTGATCTGAAATAATTAGGGAAGCAGCAATTCAACAATTTAAAATTTCTCATTGAGTTTCCTATGGTCCGTTTGACGATTCACCACCCGGTATATATATATATATATATATATATATATATATATATTATATATATATATATATATATATATACACCATATATATCTGGTGTAGGTAAAGGTTTATGGTCGGTATAATAGAATTTAACAAGATATCTAACACATATATAAAATCATATTTTCAGCGAATAGACAAAGATAAAAATCATATTTCTTCTTGGTTTCCCCCCCCCCACATTCTTCATGCACGCCCATTAGTGAACGCCAGAAACGTAAGAAAAAGCGGCAAGGTAGCCTTATTACATATTTGAATTAAAACATTGAATTTATTTAAAAAAATTGGCGATCAGTGGCGTTGCCATTCAAAACTGGATGATGATATTAAAAATTAAACACTAATTAACACAAATACTGGTACAAAATTTCTTAAATCCATGAGAAATTTACAGATTCGCATTTTTATTTGACCAAATTGTAACCTAATTTCCAATAAAACAAGATAATTTTGGCAACATCGCGATTAGTCCGTTTTCTTTAATGGTAAACTGCATACGAGACAGGACGAAGGCTATTCTATGCATTTCTTTTTGGAGGTAAGCACGTAAGTGTGAAGATAAAAATTTTATATGCCGACTTTTATACAATTGTTTACCAATATTTCCTGATGATCAATTTAAAAGAATGCAATTTTGTGAAATTATGATGGAGATGCCATGCAAATAATAATTTTTTGAAGAATATTTTGTTTACAGATGAGTCCTCCTTCACAATTTACACAATATCTCCAATTACTGCAAAATTAAATTATTCCTGCGCTTCAACATCTTCAAATTAACCTTAAGAAATTTGGTTTCAACAGATGGCTGTCCTGCACATAATGCAAAAGCCGTTAGAGACTATTTAGCGTTAATTTTTGCTGAACGTGTCATTAGTACAGACGGTACAATACAATGGGCCCCTCGGTCACCCGATTTAGCTCCTTTAGATTTTTACTTTTGGGGGATGCTACAAACGAAATTGTACAGGCATATGTTCGAGCGAGCCACCAACTTGGAGGAATTGAACGAAAAGATAATCCAACTTAGCCAAAACATATCGGCAGATGAACTCAACCCCATGAGAAATGAGTTGTATAATAGATTCGGTTACTGTTCGTTACAATTTGGTGGTCTGTTTAAACTTTTAATTACCGAAGAATTTTATTTGGTTTAGAATTTCTAATTGTTTGGAATTATTTTTTATTTGATTTCATTTAACAGAACAAATTTTATACTTTTATACTAATTTTATCTTTTTTTGTTTCATTTTTATAGAACTAATTTTTATTTTCATACCTACTATCTCTAAAAAATCTAAACTAAAATATGGTTTGAAAGATATTATTTGGAAAATACCAAATAATATCTTATTTTTAATTAAGGCGTAATTTTTCGTCCATTATAAATTTAATATAATACACTTTGTCCTTCCTAATGCTTTGCTAGTACTGTCTTTATTTATTATGCTTTATGAAAGCCATCCCATAAACCCATGCAATACGCATGGCATACCAAACTAGTTCAGTTCTGCTCGTTACCACATTATTAAAATCGAAATGTCGTTACTTTGACGACGCGACGTTGCCAAATAACTTTGTATAAAGCTTTTTTATCGTGGCGTCATAATGCAGTTTATTATTTTTATCGGCATTAAGGCACAATGTGACTTTAAAATAAGCATATTTTGATGTTTAGATTTCCAATTCGGAAATCGTACTTAAAATACGAAATATTAAAAAATTTTATTTATATAAAACGATTTCCGAAGTGGAAATCAAAATGTTAAATTAAACTTATTGTAAAGTAAAATTGTGGCATATTCCCAATAAAAAACAGTAAGCTGCCATTTAAATCAATTCGCCCAAATTTGATTATCTTAAAACATTGTTCAAATGCTAAAAAGACAACAGGTCAAATAAAACCAATAAGTTTGGCAACGTTGAACTTCCTCTCTGTTGAACTTATTATTTCCACTAATGCATTTTCGACAATATAAAGGGCGGACATAATAGACCTCTCCCTTTTAATCAGGTGTTTCTCACTCTATCTTACGTAAGGTCCATACTGACGATAGATTATTACCCAGGCTGTATATGCAAAAACATACAAACATATTGGCCAATAAGAAGTATTCACTTCATAAAAATCTGGCGGTTGCAAAAAAAAACGAACAAGCAACAACACAAAAAACGACTTACGACAAACCTTGACACAAAGAAAAATCAAGGCACAAGGCAAAACCCGCGAATATATATTCATTAAATCAAATTACAAGATATTGATAATAGATAATCATATATTCATATAAAATTAATAATTCTTAGTGAATAACTTCAGTCATACGTACTTTTTTAAGTTCTTCTTGAAACTGTTCACTGCTCTCAATAAATTTTCTCTTCTTGGCTTCGAATTTCTCCTCGATCTGCTGTAATTCGGCTTCCAACTTTTTCTGATGCATCGTCAGCGACTGAACCTGTCGTTTCAAAACTTGCATACGACCAGTTGTAACAACTGATCTAACATCTGGTACGACACTTTCGGAAAATATTTCGTTAATCAGACGGTGATTCCTTGAGTATCTGGCATATGCCACATGTTTCACTGAGTATCCATCATCTTGATCTAATAAATACATTAATAATTTAAATGCAAAATAAAAAATAATTACTTGATTTTTATTATATATATATATATATATATATATATATATATATATATATACATATATAATATATTAATAGTTATAATCGTAATAGACGCCCAGCGTCGTCAGAAGATTTATGGGAGATAATACGGCATACCCGGTCACCTAGGATTCAATAAAAAGGTACGGATCATGCTAAAGCTTAATCCTTCTGATACCGTAGATTTCTGGAATGAGATAATTTTACCCTTGGACGGAGTGATAGTCATACAGCTTAAATCTGGATAATATTGATAATTCTATATAATTGGGGTAAGATGGATGTGGAGAATCTTCAACATACCTTTCACGAAGGCGCACAAACACCATCCTCGGAATGCGATAAAACAAAAAACGTTATCACCATATCTGGGAGGAAGAGATTACACAAAATTACAAAAACAGTTTTAATACTAATTCAGAAGTAGTCTGAGATATCTATTTTATATCACGCAAGACGGGCGAGACGAGGGGCAGGACATGTTGGTAAGGGTGGTTGATATTGGCATGATCTAAGATAAATACTTATGAAGAAATGTAATTAGGAAAGCCGACATCGCATAGGCATAAAGGGACAGAGAATGATGAGGAATTTTAAAAGAATTATGTTTCTAAAGAAAACAAATTAATGTACAAATATCTCTGTGAGTTATAGTAAGATTTGGCTATAGTTAATAAAAAAATGGCCAATCACTAAACTCAAAAACAAACGTAATTCATATATAAAAAAAACATAAATATAATGAAGTAATATGTGAAAAAAAAAAAAACATGAGATTCTAATAATAATTTAATAATAGCAAACTTACCGTCTTCATCTTCTGCAGGTTGAATCTCGATTCTTCTATCAGCGGCTGCTTGCTGTTTTGCTGAAGTGCTTTGTCTCTCGTGGGTTTCTCCATCTGTACCTTGTGTAACTGAAATTAGTGCAACGAAAATGTGATGATGACAATGGTGATGATGCAGTAGCGTGATCAAAGCATATATATACACCAACACAAAGCCCAAAGCTTTGGCAAGTAAATACATACCAAACGATAGGAAAGTGCTAGTTTGCTAGAACAAATCAATTTAACTAAATATATTTAGATTAAACAATGAATATATCAAAACACTCATTCCTTAAGAAATTAAAGCAGCTGCTTTTGGAGCAGCTGGATACACTTTTCGTGGTTAATAATTTAACATCCTTATTTTTTCTTCGTTTACTATAATTTGAATATTCCATTATTTATTTCTCAATATTTAATAACAAAGGGATCTTGTCAAATATTCCAACTCTACAATAATTTTTTTTTGATCTAATGCTGTCTTCATAAAAGTTGTACGGATGTGGGTAATATTCCGCAGGTTATGAACATATTGCTGCATTTAATACAAAAAAAGTCTTATAACATTTTTTTATAAAGTCAACCGTTTGATTTAAAAAAAATATATTTTTTAATCCATTTGATTATTGTTCACAGAAAAGCAAATACAGCCGGCAACGTTGCGTTCCTTCTTATCCTTGTTGATACTGATAACAGTGAGAGAGAAAAAGCATATTTGTTTTTATTAACTAATTAATAATTAAGGGTTGAATACCGTTTTTACTTACATGAAAAATTATTATTACAATAAATGTTCGAAGTGGCCACCATTTGCACAGATACATGCATTTATTCGACGAATCCAATTATTCAGTATGTAAATTATGAAAAAATGCGTTAGGCTTTCACGACCATCGTCTAACTTGTTAAACTGTTTGTTCGGGCTATTAGGCCATTGTCTTCTGAGAATAGTTCTCGACGTTTCGTCAACACTAGGGGTTGGTATCTTCTGGAGATGTTACTGCTTCGCTTGTAAGCTGAAAGTGGTCAGTTTGGGCAACCCAGCAGGTTGCTTAACGATTAGTTTCTAGTTTGTTTTGTTAGGTATTTTATTAGTTATGTATATATGATTATTTTGACATCCTATAAAATGCCAGAAACTTAGCATCAGTTTCTTATACCTAATTATTTTACAGCAACATCGTTCTATGTTTCATATTATTTGCAATGTAGGGATGAACCACAGCCACCTTTACTTCCAAGTCACGAAGTAGAAATTTGGCAACAACGCGTGGTAGTCCGACTGTGGTTTGTTTTGGTTTAACATTTCATATAGGAAGGCTTGTAAAGTTTGTTGAATTTATTGTTTTTTTAACTTTATTCGAATGTTTTATTTGTAAATTGTGTTTAAATCAATTAGAAAATATTAATATAAGTGAAATTTCATTAAATTTAGAACTTTTAGAAGATTCTTAACGACAATTTAAAAGGCAAGTATAAATATAACCTACAAAACAAACTGAAAATAATAATACTTTTGCTTCTTGGTACAAAATATGTAAACTAAAAACAACAATAATAATACTTTTGTTTTTTGTTACAGATGCTCTGGCATTGTTGTGTACCTGGTTGCAAAACCAATTATGCCAGTACTTTAAAAACGAAACAGGCAGAAAGTAGGTTTTTGTTTCCCAAAGATCCCCAAAGAAGGTATACTGGGTTATGCTCTATTCATAGAGAAGGCTGTACAATTACCAAATCTTCCGTAGTATGTGCCAAACATTTTCATGAAGATGATATTCAGCGGACTGAACAATGAGAAGTGACTGAATGAAGAAGAGTAAAATTACAAGTGACTGTGTATATTTCTATGTATTAAACATTAATCAGTTGGGACACAAGTGTGATAATATTTGTGTAATATGTAGTGTAATAGTTAGCAGTAATTTTAGTGTAATCGTCAATGTAGGTAAGAATAGATTAAGTGGTACTGATTTGAAATGGATTTTACAATATAGTAAATTAACAAGATGGTCAAAATTAGAGAACTTACTTTCTCACTTAGATCTGCTTTTTAGATAAGTGATAACAAATTTGAGTATTACATTCAAAAATCTTTTGAGAATATAGGCTATTTTAAATCGATATACAAGTTATAAATGGTATGTTACATTCAACACATTTTTCATGTATACCTCTTTTAACTTGGTCTATATGACAACAAACCTATTCATATTTAAAATTGCTACTTTTGTATATCTAAGTATGAAAATTCAACAAAAGTTATAAGTAAATAGTAAAATATTTAATTTTCAATTAGATTAATTTAGAACCATATTTATATTGTGTCTGATTTCTTAGGATGAATTTTTTAATCATAATAGTTACACTAAGTTTTTACTTAGCACAAATTTTATATCTTTTGTATTTTTAATAATCTTTTTAAATGTCGTGTTAATGTATTGTGTTATTTATATGCTTAAGTACTTAATATTTAAAATTTCTAGAGATTCTTGACTGTATTTGATTGTAAGATTAACTGTTTGACACTGTATTTTAAGTGCAATAAATTTTACTCTAGTGATTATTTTATTGATAATATAACCTAAATAATAATAAAACTTTATATATATTTACTAGGTATATATAAGGTTTTATTAATTTAATTTCCCTAAAAATATTTCTGTAATGAATTATTGAAGTTTTCAAAATATCAGTTTCCTAAAATTCAAATTAGTTTAATATTCTGGTAGACCTTACAGCTGATTATCGGACTACCGACGTCATAGAATGCGGTGTTGCCTTTTTTACTTCATGGCTTGGAAGTAAAGGTGGCTGTGGATGAAAATACCTTCTTTTTTCTGCTTTTTTGCGTCTTCTGTTACAATAATAAGGGATATCTTCATCACTTGAATGACTAGACAATTTAACGCGATAATTACAATCAATAATAGTTAGAAAGGTTTAAAATTTAAACACCGTGTTTAATAATAAAGCTACAATCGAGAAGTGACTCGTTTTTATTAATTTCAGTTGCGTAGTGTGCGATTCATAGTTGGTGATTGTAGTTTCCAACTAGTTTAGTTTCTTCATGTATGGACAGCCTTAGTGTACTGTTCTTCCCTCGCCGACCCAATCTACCTGCTTATTTATATTACTACGTTAAGCTTTCTGTCTTTTTGGCTCGCGCCTGGACTGGATCCATGAAACCTCTGGATTACTCACTAACTACCAATCTAAGAATTAACTTTCATGACCGTTTTGTTTTTTCCTAGAAAGATAGATCCTCTAATATGCTGTACATTTTTTATTATTTCTATTACTTCTACATTCTTCTAATATCAGCAGCTTATCTTCACGTTCCAGTTGCTTTATTCAGCTCTCGTTTTTCATTTATTGTTCAAATCCACCACAACGTTTTGCTTGTGTTTATCTAATCTTATGATATACTTAGGTTCAAAATTACAGAATATTGTTTTAAACAGCATCTTCTTCCAGAGAATCACAGAATCCAACAGCATCCAACATAAAAATTATTTTATATATTATAATTCCATTTATTTATTACGTGAGAGCAATTATGGTCCGTACATTGGTTGTGAACCAATGCTTTAAAAAACATTAATACAAAATTGTTACTTCAACACGAAATCAAACAAAATTCTTAGATACCTACGAGCAAAGATTATGTTAGGTTAGGTTAGGTTAAAGGTATTATTTGGTGAGTGTAGGTTATTAATAAAAAGCAAGTGATATTAATTGTGGCAATGACATGTTAACAGTGACTAGTGAGGTGTGTATTTCCGTATTAGAACAATGTGCTTACCAGATTTTCCTTTATTCTTTGCGGCCATATAGGCAATATAAGCGGGTGAGCTATGATATGTTTTCAATGTTTTTTCGTATTCAACCTAAAAAAAAAATAAATCGTTTAGGTTTACTATTCGAACAATAAAGAATTCTAATAATGAAATCATTTATTCTTCTTACATCCAAACAATAGGAGAATATATTTCAGCGATTTGTATGTATTGACAAGGTGTATGCACTAGATGTGAAATTTATAATTTGAAAGCCAGAAAAGATTAAGATGAAAAATTATGAAAATGTACCTTTTCTTGTTCATATTCGTCATGAAACTCATTCTTTCCTTCTTCTGGAAGATCCCTCCACATTTGTCCAATAATTTTTCCTATTTCCCATAGTTTCAGGTCCGAATGTTGTGCCTTCACCGCATCCCATACCTTACGACTGTACCGCATGTATGGCATTAACGGTTTTTCTGGCGCTTTCGGCGGTTTGGGTGTTTTGGACTCATTTTTCTGAAAACATAAATATTTAATAAAAATTTTTTTATTAAAAGTATTAGACAAAACAGTTTTTATTACATTTTTCTAACGCAAAAATCTTGGATTTCCTTTTAACCGTAATTATAATAAAATATACTCAGTGTGTTTAATCACAAATTAATCCCTTAATTTGTAATCTCACATTATTATTAACTTCTTAACATTTTATAGTTTCACCGTGTATAATTGAAACATTGTGAAAATCATCGTGTAATATTTTAATAATTAGAGTCTATTCACCAGAAACTTGCAACAATTGGCGAAAAATATATTTTTAAATTAAACTTCCTAAAGTGTTGCAATAACGGCCTAGACTGAATTGTATTGAAAGCTCATAGTTCAAAGTTTGTTAGTATGATAGAAGTATTAACCTCTGTGCTAAGGTATACATTATTTGTGAAATTAAATTGGGTATTTGAGCTCAGTCTATTATAGAAAGTTACCTAACCAACAACTAGAGTGTAATTATTCTTCTTCTTCTTCAAGTGCCGTCTTCGTTCCGAAGTTTGGCTATCATCAAAGCTATGCGTATTTTTGATGCTGCAGATCTAAACAGTTGGTAATTGGTGCAATTGTACCATTCTCTCAAGTTTTTCAACCATGAATGCCTTCTTCTTCCTATAGATCTCTTTCCCATTATCTTTCCCTGTATAATCAATTGCAGCAACTGGTATTTATCTCCCCTCATAACATGTCCCAAATATTGTAGTTTGCGCTTTTTAACAGTAAGTATCAGCTCTTTCTCTTTCTGCACTCTCCGCAAAACCTCCACATTTGTTACTTTCTCTGTCCAGGGTATTCTTAATATTCTACGATACATCCACAACTCAAATGCTTCTATCTTTTTGGTATCGATCTTTTTCAATGTCCATGTTTCCATCCCGTAGAGGAGAACTGACATAACGTAACATCTCAAAAGGCGAATTTTAAGTTTTAGACTTAGATCTCTTCCGCAGAACACCTTTTTCAATTTAGTAAATGTGGCTCTAGCTTTCTCTATTCTGGTTCTGATTTCTTCAGAGCAATCATTATTTTCGTTGATAACAGTTCCCAGGTAATTATATCTTCTTACGCGTTCGATTCTTTGATCATGGTTATGTCAGGGAAGTTTTGTGGAGATTTGGATATTAGCATTATTTTTGTTTTGCTTATGTTAAGTGATAATCCGTGTTCTTCACTGCATTCTACTATTTTGTTAATTAGTATTTGAAGATCTTCCCAAGTTTCTGCGATTAGTACCGTGTCATCGGCATATCTCAAGTTGTTTATTCGGATGCCATTTATCTTAATACCTATATTTTTATCCGAAAGTGCTGTGTTTATAATGTCTTCGGAGTATAGATTGAATAAGGTCGGTGAGAGTATACAACCCTGTCTTACGCCTTTCTTGATCTCGATTTCCTCCGTTGTCTCTTGCTCTATTCGGATATTTGCTTTTTGTGTAATTATTAGTAGCTGTCAATAAAACTATAATTTTTACTCCACGACGTCCACATTTTATTGTATTACCATCGTGGATTGAGAAGAATCGGACAAATGGGCATTAGAAAACAATTCGATCCTTATAATTACATCGAATCTGTCCATTGGTCCTTCGACAAAACAACATCAAAAGGGCGTTAATTGGATTGGAGTCTAGAAAGAGACGACCCGTAGTGACCTGAATAACTGCTTTCCAGTTCCGTACAAGATCGACGATCGAATTCGAAGTGTGGAGAAAGAAAAAATAAAACAAAGACCAGAAAGCACCGACATTAGGAGTAGGAGCCTAACGAGAGTCTTTCGAGCACCAGAGAACCTGAATAGCAGTCCTTAAGTCTACCGTTCCAACAGTTTGGAGGTGGAAAATCTAGCGGCATCCAGAGATCCAGCTTATCAGTTCCAGTTGCAGTTGTAAGAAGGAAGCAGGAACATACAAGTGAACGTCGGGATAAAACTGTAAGTTTTTGAATATTTATTATCATTTAGAGCAGTGCATTTTTTTATAAATTAAAAAGATTATTAAAGAAACTTAATACAATTCATAATAATACTTAATTGAAATGTTTTTATTCTGTATACATTTCTACTTAAAATAGTAATATTTTGTCTAATGCTAATTCAAATCTAATATCTTGATTCTTTTGATATTAATTATATTCGAAAATTTTGATTCTTATATTTTAAATTCTTGAAACTGGATTTTCATACTATCGTGACATCCTTAACAAATTGTTATTTTTATATAAAGAATTTTATTTCTCTGGTTACAAGCGATAATATTACGTTTTTTTTTATTGTACAATAAGCTGTGTCAACAAGGTTGAGTTCATTACGTTGTTGTGTAAGGTAATCTTGCTGAGACTTGAAAAGTTGAATTTAGGCCAAACTTATATACTTACGTAGTTGAAATGCAGAGATTATATACAGAACAAGAAAAACTAGGTCAAGAAATAACTAAGTTTTTAAATAACTTAAGAAAATTAAGGAGAGAGAAACGTACGAGGGAATATTTAAACATAAAAAACAGATTTTAGAGGAATTGTGGAGCGACATTGAAGTTCAAAACACAGAAATTGAAGAAAAGGATTCAAAATATGATAAATATTTTACATCTAAGTTTTACGAACAAGTACAAAAAAGATATGAAGAAACGGAAAAGAAAAGAGAAATTTAGAGCAATTTAAGACAGTAAGGACATTCCAATATACAAGTCAACAGAGGAATTCCTACAAAGAAGATTCCAGACATTGAAGATGTTGGAAACAGAAAGGAAAAGAACAGATCACAGACAACAGGTAAAGAAGAAGATAACCCATGTGGTGTGTCATGAAGAACATGAACTGTTTAAATGTATAAAGTTTGTAAGTCTATAAGTACGCGAAAGAAACAAAATTGTAAAGGAAAAGCAATGGTGCGGTAGATGACTACTACACAAAATGTAAGTACCATGTTACTCCTCTTATAGATGTGCAGAATGTGGTGGACAGCACCATTCATTACTATCTACACATGTCAGAAGGTCAGTATGATAACAGAAGGAATTCTGAAAACAGAATTACACAAAACACACCAAATTCTAGTGGGTCAGAAGGTAACAGAATGAATTCTGAAACAGAAAGTAACAGAAGGCCACAAAATAGACCCAATTCTAGTGGGACCAGAGGTGACAACAGTTACAACGGATCATCAAGGAGGCAGGAGAATACTGTGAGCTGTTTAAGTCATAATAATGAAGAGGTGCTACTTGCAACGGCATTAGTACGAGTAAGAGACTCAAAAGGAAGCTCACTATTGATGAGAGCTTTGATTGACCAAGGCTGGCAGTCATCATTCATTACAAGTCTGGGAACAAAAAGAAAAGCTGCCCACGCTGAGATATCTGGAATTGGCAATGAAGACCAAAGGACGTCGAAAGGGAGTGTGGCAGTAAACTTAGAGGCGCATTTCAAAAATGAATTTGGAATGAAGACCGAAGCACTTGTACTACGAAAAATAACAAAAAATCTACTGGAGAAGGAGATACAGATGAACGAACGGTACCATAGGAACTTAGTCCTGGCGGATCCAAATTTTAATGAAATAGGTTCAATAGATATTCTATTAGGAGCCAAAGAATATAGTTTGATATTACTGGACGAAGTACATCAAACAAAGGATAGTTTGCTCCCCAAATAAAAAAATTGGGTTGGATAATGTCAGTGATAGCACAGCAAGAGAATATCTCTAAAATACAAGTACTCAGCATGATATCTAGACGACAGATGGATGAAGAAATAAAAAAATACTGGGAGTTAGAAGAAGTAAAACAAAGCAATACTATTTCAGTAGAAGAAAAAGAGTGAATAATATTATAAAAGAACAGTAAAAAGGGATAACGAAGTAAGATTTGAAGTTAAAATACCCTTTAATTCTAATACAAGCCTATTAGGAGACTCAAAACAGCAAGCGTATGCGAGACTGCTGCAATTAGAGAAGAAATTTCAAAGAGTCACAAAGATAATAAATAAAGGAGGATGACACCTCACCGGGGAAATGGCCACTAACGAAGATAATCGAAACACATCGCGCAGCTGAAGGTTTGACAAGAGTCACAACATTTCAAAAGGCGAACGGAAAAGTAACTACTCGTCCTATACACAAGTTAATACCAATAGTACGAGAGCTCACCTAACGAAAGACAAATATAGCACGTAGTACGTGGAGAAAACTTATGTTTTGAATCCTATTTTAATATTTTTGAAACCATCAAATGCAGATTTGTACAAAATTTATACCCCATCCCACCGATTATAGTCAGAGCTTCTAAGCGATGTATACATGGACTGAGGGATATTTAGAATAAAAACTCATCTAGAAAAGAAAAAAAAATAGATAGTGAACGAACGATAGATTCAATAGTCAAAACGCTGGAAGATATGTGTAAGACAAGCAATATAATAAATTGTGATTCACTATCGAGCCAGCTAAATGAGAAACAAGAACGAGCAAAAACGATAAGTCGAGCATTAGATCGGGAAGTTAAAAGAAGGGCGAAGAGGGGTCTTCTATGAACAGTACTCACATCAGTATTTGGGGTAAATAATGAAGTTTGCGATTCAATATCTTGCTTACTACCCCCTGACTCACTCCACACGTTCTTGCGACTTCTCTTTGTGACAAAAGTATGTTCACTTAACGCGATAATCTTTTCACGCTTCCTAGGCGTAATATCCATGATGGCATTAAAAGAAACAAACTCACTAATTAGCGAATACAACACAAACTTAGTGAGATATGTTCTAAAATAACCTCAAATAAGAGGCAGAGAAAAGTAAGGTTATGTTCTCAATGCTTGGTCAGTTGTAAATGTGTGGACAGTGTTGCCAACTGTGAATATTGAAAAATGTCACAATGATTCCATTAATTCGCACAATATTGAAAATGATATGAAAATATAAACCTAAAAAAAAATGTGACAAAAATGGGAAAACTTACAGCTGTATTTTTTCCGAGTTTCTGGGGTACAAATCCAGGATTTCCATTAGTTGAAGCAACAAATGGATTCGTCTCTTTCTAAAAATAAAATCAACAATATATTTTCAAGATTCTATCTACTTTTGTCTCACTTACCGCTGCAGTAGAACTAGCTCCTCCTGAAGCTCTTAATCTCTCTATAAAATAATTCAATTAGTTTAATATAAGAATTTCGTGGGACTGTACATATATGTGCAAATGAAAAACGGGCTTGGTGATGATAAACGAGTTTACGACAAAAATTATATTAGTTCAAGAGGGGAAAATAATTACAAACATTGAAGCGATATAATTACTGAGGTATTAAAATTTAGAGTATTCCAACAAGTACTAAAAGGTATGCTCTTAACGTTCATCCTAAATCATGCACAAAAATAAACCAACATTAAATTTTTTAACGAACTTACCAGATTCTGAAATACTCTACAGCAAAAATATACTTAAGTACTGACTAAAATTTATCTCTGAGTTCGTGTAATTCTCGATTCAATCAAAACTAGAAACATTTACAAAATTATGAATAAAACATAATTAAGTCAGTACCAAATAATTATCTTTCTCGAGGTATTTTATATTAGTATAACTATAATGTAGTACGCAGCCAAGGCTTTTGATATCATATATTTTTTAACTATTTATTAGTTTTAATACAGCGTAATTTTTGTTAAAAGGCTATGTATAAAAAAAACTAAATGACACTAAATACTTGATCTAAAAAGATTGAACAATAAATAAGTTTTCACCTTAAAATTTTCGTCGTTTTGCACAATCCATACTGAAAGCAATTATATAGTTTTTGTAACAATGAATTATTGAAGATTGTTTTATTTGACTCATAAGGTTTATGAGGACAGACCCTGACTGCTACAGCTCTGGCTAGAAGATTTCCAGATGAACATGGTACAGGAGTTTAGACATCCTAAAGAGCAATATGCTGGTAAAGCCGTGAAAGCATATCCTGGATCAGACGTGGTTTCATATCACAATCCACTTATCGCCAAGATTACACTCATCCTTAAAAATATTAAAAGACATCAAAGAATCCCTACAATACACACAAGAAGAAAACTGAAAGATCCTAAAGTAAAAGAATGCCTCCAACATGAACTGCAGCAATTTGGACACAAACACCAATGATATTGACGAGTACTGGGATCGAATAAAACATTAACTACTTGAACCCTGTAAAGAAATACTAAAGACTTCCGCAAGGAGAAAAGAAGAATGGTTGAATGACGAGATACTCAAATGATGGAACAACGGAGACAATTAAAAACAAAGACAACAATAAATACAGAGAGATAAACCACGAGATCTGGAAGATAATAAAGCAGGCAAAAGAAAAATACTTTGAAGAGAAATACAAAGAGATCGAAGACCTTCAAAATAAATATGATCTGTTTAACCTACACAAGAAAGTTAAAGAACTGGCAGGACTAAGAAAACAAAATCACACTTGTGCAATTCTGGATAGACACGGGACTACTATAACACATACGGACGAGAAAGTACAAAGATGGGCAGAATATATCGACGAATTGTTTGATGATAAAAGAGGAGATCTGAAGCACATAGAACTTACGTTAGAAGAAATAGGTCCATATATTACAAAAGATTCTGGAAACAACGATTCCAAGCACAAACGGGGAGTTGGCATTATAGTTGATAATAATTGTCATAAAGCTGTCTGTAACTTTGTTCCCTACTCTGATCGAGTATTAATGCTGTCTCTAAACTCTCATTTAAAACGTAAAATAAATATAATCCAAGTATATGCACCCACTGCAGATAAGGATGAAGACACCATAGAGGCCTTCTATGAACAAATCGACAATGTCTTAAGACTAACTAAAAGACAAGATATAAATATTATAATGGGCGATTTGAACGCTAAAGTTGGCCAAGGAGAAGTGGAGAATTGCGTGGGGCGATATGGACTCGGGGAAATGAATGAACGTGGCGATAGGCTTGTCGATTTCTGTGTCAATGAGGAACTCATAATTACAAATACCTTGTTCAAACTTCCTAAACGTAGACTATATACATGGAGGTCACCAGCTGACAATAACAACAAAATAGTCAGAAATCAAATAGATTATATTATCGTCAACAGAAGATATAGAAATTCTATAATATCATCTAAAACTTATCCAGGAGCGGACATATCCTCCGACCACAACCCGGTTGTTTTGTCGATGAGAGTGAAACTAAAGAAGGTCAACAGCCCTAGCACCAAGAAAATCATAGATACAAGACGTCTCAAACAAGACAACACATATGTGGAAACCAAATTTAAAATAAACGAGAGCTTAAGGAAAGTCAAAGAAGATAATGCAGAAACTCTAACTATTGACCAAAAATGGGGAAAAATTCAACATGCCCTTGTGTCAGTTGGAAAAGAAACCCTCAAACCACTTAAAGAAAAAACAAAACCTTGGATGACAGTAGAAATTCTTGAACTCATGGAAGAACGAAGAAAACATAAAGCAAAAGACCTGAATAAATACAAAGAAATTCAGAGAAACATCAGAAAGAAAATTCGAGAGGCAAAAGAGAGGTGGCTCTCCGATAGATGCAAGGAAATAGAAGATCTGGATAAAAAGTACGATAGCTTTAATTTACACAAAAAAATCAAAGAAATGACAGGTTCTAGAAAGCGTACAAAAACGAATATCCTTAAAAATGATAAAGGGGATATTATTACTGATATGAAGGAGAGATTATGTCACTGGACCAATTACATTCAACAACTATTTAATGATGAAAGAGAAGAACTGTCATTAGAAATCACCGAGGATACTGGACCACCAATATTAAGAGAAGAAGTCATCTATGCCATCAAAAACACAAAAGAGGGTAAAGCTACTGGACCAGATGAGGTGCCCATCGAATTATTAAAACTCATCGATGAAGATGTTATTGATGTAATGGTTGAACTCTTTAATCTAATATATCAGACTGCCACAATCCCCAGACAATGGCTGCAATCAACCTTTGTAGCAATTCCCAAAAAACCAAGTTCAACAACTTGCTCAGACCACAGAACAATAGCTTTAATGAGTCACACACTTAAAACATTTTTGAAAATAATTCACAGCAGAATTGTTAAAACTCTTGAATATGAGATTAGTGACACACAATTTGGCTTTAGAAATGGTATGAGTACAAGAGATGCTTTGTTCGGCTTGAATGTGCTGGCTCAGAGATGCATGGACATGAATCAGGATATGTACTTATGTTTTGTAGACTTTGAAAAGGCATTTGATAAAGTTCAACATAAAAAGCTTGTAGATATATTAAAAAGCAAAAATATTGACAGTCGTGATCTGAAAATTATATCTAATTTATATTGGAATCAAACTGCCAAGGTAAGAGTTGACAGCCAGTACACCGAAAATATCAAAATACAGAGAGGAGTCCGCCAGGGTTGCGTGCTGTCCCCACTACTTTTCAATGTCTACAGTGAAGCGGTATTTCAAGAAGCGCTCTCAGACTCAATAGAAGGTATATCTATCAATGGAGAAGTTTTGAATAACTTACGTTTTGCAGACGATACAGTAATAATTACGGATAACAACAATGATTTACAGAACCTAATGCAACGCCTTAATGAACGCTGTCATGAGTACGGACTGAAGATAAATTTAAAGAAAACTAAATGCATGATCATGACTAAATCTGCACATGCAAATATCCAATTGACTATTGAAGATACTGCAATTGAGAAGGTTAATAACTATAAATATTTAGGAACATGGATAACATCAGATGTAGACCAAACCAAAGAAATTAAGACACGTATTGAAATAGCACGTACATCATTTATTAAACTTAAAAAGTTTCTTTGTTGTCGGGATATAAGGTTAGAACTACGCCTGAGAATGCTTCGATGTTACGTGTTCTCTACTCTTCTTTATGGTCTGGAAGCTTGGACACTCAAACAAGTTCATCTGAATAAGCTGGCCGCCTTTGAATTTTGGTGTTACAGAAGAATCCTACGAATATCATGGATTCAAAGAATGTCAAACATGGAAGTAACTAGAAGGATAGGAAATGAGGCGGAAATAATATTAACTATTAAAAGACGAAAACTTGAGTACTTGGGACATGTGATGAGAGGGCAAAAATACGCATTATTACAACTTATTATGCAGGGCAAAATCCGAGGAAAGCGAAATGTGGGAAGACGAAGAATATCCTGGCTTAAGAACTTAAGGGAATGGTTTGAATGCAGTAGTGCAGAACTTTTTAGAGCGGCAGTCAACAGAGTCCGCATAGCCATGATGATTTCCAACCTTCGATAGAAGATGGAACTTAAAGAAGAAGAAGATTACAAAAGAAGAAATATTATACGCCTTAAAAAAATGAAGAGTGGGAAAAGCCCTGGACCTGACATGCTTCCTATAGAAATCATAAAAAATCTAGATGAGAAGCACATTGATGTTTGAATGACACTCTTGAACCAAATTTATAGTTCAGGCGTATTACCCAAAGAGTGGTTAACGTCGATTTTTATTTGTCTCCCCAAAAATTAATTTATACACAATTTGGTTTTCGCAAAGGCCTAGGAACACGTGAAGCTCTTATTTCAATTATTATACTAATATAAAGATGCCTAGACGTCAATCAAGATATATACGCATGTTTTATTGACTATAATAAAGCAATCGATAAAGTATGATATAAACACATATAAACAATTAATGTTTAAAATGTCCTGAAATCAAAGAAGATTGACTACAACGACCTCAAGATCATATCAAATTTATACTATAAACAGCGATCAAAAGTACGTGTTAATGAACAGCTGTCAGAACAAATTGAAATTAGATGTGGAGTGAGACAGGGATGGATATTGACGCCAATTATTTTTAATGTCTACTCCGAAGAGATCCTGAAAAACGCTCTTGAGGGTGAAACAGCTGGAATAAAGGTAATGGAGCTCCCATTAACAACATTACATATACGGACGACACTGTGATCTTAGCCGAAAATATTGAAGATCTTCAAAGACTGGTGACCAGAATAGCAGAGTATGGAAAACAACGAATGTCAAGAAGACGAAATTTATGAGAATATAGAAAACTCAAAGAAATAACGAGAGTCTTCTAATAAATGGAACCAACGTCGAACAAGT